CTACTACTACTACTACCACCACTAGTCGTGTTACTATTGCTACTCGTACTACAAAGCAGCTTAAGCAGCATCAGTAGCGGGAGCACTAGCACTAGCGCTAGCAGTAGCAGTAACACCAGCAGTAGCAGTCGCAGTACTGGCACCGGTGCTAGCACTAGAAGCAGTAGCGGGTAGTGGTTAGTGCCCGGTGAATAGTGAGTAGTGGCTGAGGAAGTCTGTTGTGACCTTGACTTCAATGCTTGACGTATCGCTGACCCCTTTCAGTCCTCGGGCGTGGGATCCGGTGCCTCAAACATCAGCTTCACCTGGTGAGGCCCTAGACCGCTGAACCCTTGGCTCCTCCATACTCGGATGATTCAGTTACATAACGACAACGGAGCGCTCAGCAGCAGAGAAATAGCTGCAGGCTGTAACGAGCACTCAACGAAATGCTTGCCAAGAACCTGACTACGGATCCCATAGACAGAGATAAGCTGTTTCATGATATCCTCGTCAAGGCCGCACCTTCACGTTGCTGACGGCCCGGAGCCACAACTCCTTCTCGTCAGCATCGCGGGCACAGAAGCGGTGACTGCGCAGGTGCTGTTTTGCTGAATGTCAGGAGGGGCTTGGGGGAAATTCGATATTCGCCTCTTCATGCTCTTGACTAACGAGATTTCAGGGCTTAGAGTTCCTTCGAGACTTACGTTGCATACGAAGATGCATGGATCCTGGCAGAAGTCCCATGGGACGGAGCGGCCCAGGTGAGGTTTGCTGCAAGACACATTCCATGATGGCGATGGGTTGCAAGTTACAAGACTCCAGGTTCACAAAGACAACCGACAGGCTGCAGCAGGGGCGGCAGATTCTGCATAGGCCATGTTGACAGGAATGAACGCTTGGTCCCCAAGACCAGACAAAAAGGCAAAGCGCGAAACAAGTCTGAGTCCTCCGACATGCCACGTCGGGCTGTTTTCCAAACTTCCGCCAAGTGGCTGGTCGATGCCGAAAACATTGCAGTGGACACCAGACCGCGTGCTGACCTTAGGGGAAGTAACTTTTGCACCGGTGTGGCCGTAGCAAAGTGTGGTTCGGGACTTCATCATTGCAGGCGTCTGAAGCAAGCAAGAGTCGATAGATATCAGGATAAGTCCACAAAGAGTTTGCGACACTTCCGCAAAAGCATGCAATCGCTCTTCAGACAATTATCGGTGAATCGTGAACCAAGCCGAAAACCGACCTATAGCTGAGCCCAGAATGCAGTCCTACACCACAGTTTCGCAGAACAGCATCACGCAAGGCCCCACGCGGTGGATGCATTGGAGAGAACGATCGTCGTCAACTGGAACAAACTGGTTTAAGAAAGCTAAGTCGTGCTCGAGCGTTGCGCAGTGCGTTCTTGTACCCAGGACTCAGGACTCTGCGGCTGTGGAGTTAGTGATAGTGAAACATGCATTGAAACATGCGTGCTTGTTCCAAAGCCCACTACAAGACCTAATGGCTCCATGTCATGAACATGGTTGTCAGCTCTGAAACTGCACAAGTAAATGCCTGTAGGCGGGCATATCATGTGAATCATGTGAAGTGCAGATCAGGATCAACAACATCTTCGCCAAAATTGCTGACATCCAAAACCCAGACACGGGAGTTTTAGGAATTAAGATCATGGCCTCCCTGTCGCACCACTCGTCGCGATAGAGAGTGAGCTTTGCCTCTCCTGCAACGTACCTTGCCGTTCAGGACAAGTTGAAGACAAGGAGTTGTGCTCCAGCTTGGAAGCGTAGTGACGTGACCGTGAAAAATCTGAACTCCTGCAGATACTTGGCTTAAGGCGAATGCCTGGGAAGAGCGGAGCCTCACTTCAGTTCAGTTCTGCGAAATCCGAAGCGCATCCTCCAAGCAGCTGTGGCCATCACATCCCGAACCCCGAAAGCCAACGAAACCCTTGCAAAGCCATCAAGAGAGACCCAGAGAACAAACAGACCGGAAAGGCGAGACCCGACCTCAGAGTCAACCAGAAACATTGGACACTGGGCTTTAGAACCTGTCTGAGACAAGATTGATTCACCGAGTGCCTGAGCCAATGGCTCGATCTCGTGCACTTTTTTTCTCACCCCCTGGTTGGATTTCGAAGTGCAGCCTGTATCCTTACCAGAGCTTCAAGCGCATGCCAAGAAGCTCACACAATTCAGCGAAAGCCAAGAAACCTGAGTCCGCGCTGAAGTCAGCGTCCGGGCAGCCAACGTCAACGTCATCCACAAAGCAGTAGCAATAGCGTGCGAACAAGAAAACACAAAGCGTTCACGCACCGATTAAAACACCAAACTGAAGAAGCTGCCCCAAAGGGGGAACCGAATGGCACCACGCCAGCAGTGCGAAAGCTTCCTGAGGGGACCGCCCAAAGATCTTGGCACCAAACCCGGGTGTCGAATCCAGCTTGCTGCAATCGCTCCATGACGCTGACATATGTGCGTATGGAGTCAAGGAATGTCTCGCACAGAAATGGTCGAGTTGTGATGACTATGATGGTAATCTTCACATCGGCGCACCTTCTTGGCGCCGTCACTCCCAACTTGAGTGAAAAATCCGAGCGAACAGCAATGGAAGACATCGCTGAAATCATCATGTGATGGGGCTTCACAAGGCCGCTTCACGCGGCCCATGTGCACCTCATCCAAGATTTCGGCAAGCAACGATGATCCTTCCGGATCAACCCTGCCTTTCCGAAGCTTCTCGAAGACATAAGCCCTGTTCAGCACAGCAAAAGTGTCACCAGAAATGGGTGCGGTATACTTGTCATCCAGTCGCGGCCCGCGGCCTCCAACCAGGCGTGTTACCTATCTCCCCAGTCACCGGGAAACCCTTTGCCAATGCCTCTTCCAAGGAGTCGCAGTCTGGATTAGCACAACCTCGGAGTAGCGAAAAAAAACAGAGGGATTTGAACTATATGCCCGTCCGGCAAAGTGTATGCACGCTGTACGTGGGTACCGCGGCTCTGGAACCAGGGTTGGGTCTTCATCCCGTTTCGCACGAGTATCTGCAATGACCCGGGAACGAAGTTAGTCAATGGCCGTGGGAGCCACCGTAATCAATCTTTGTATGGTCAACTCCAGCCCTGGGTCCAAAATGAGGCTTCAAAAGGACTCGGTGAATAGCCTGCAAAGCGAACTCCCAAGGTTCCCACATGCCCTGAACCGGGAACATGTGAGCATGCACTTGCAACTCAGCAACTCTGCTGCCCTCCGCGCCGGCAACGGATATTTCTCGGTGAACTGCGATGCCGAAGCTAAGTCCTGCATGGCCTTGGCTCCCTCGCCGCTCTGGCCGAAAGGGCCGTCTTCATGCGCTTGGGTGCATCGCTGGTGTGTCGCTTGCCGCATCTCGGCATGGAACTTCAGCCCATCAGGCTCCATGTCCTCGATGAAGTCGGCCGGCACCTGCATCTGGAGCTGCGCTAACTTGTTGGGCAGCTTCTTCCAGACAAGACGGTCTGAGGTGCGGAGGTAGAACGACAACGTTCTCGGCGAGTAGGCAGGCACGGCGGCCCGGGAAGTCTGGCCAACAGCTTCTGCAGAAACTTTGTGAGATCGCGGCTAGTGCTGCTTCGGCTGTGGCCCGATCTCCCGGTATGGCCGTGGAGGCCTCGGTCCTGTGCACCGGTGCTCCTGATGACACTGATGAGGGAACTTGCAGCAGTGGCACGCTCTGTAGGTGCCCCTGGATACGCCACAGATGACCATCTACCGTGCAGATGGACCAGATCCCAACGAAGGCAGGTACAACTGTTGCGTGCCCGACACTCGGAGCACATGTCCTCCAAAGCGTTCGATGAGAGCTCCGGTTTCGTCCTTCCGGGTCTCGTCGATCCCTGCTAGCGTCAGTGTCTCACGAATGACTGCCACGATCTGGCTCTTGCTCAAAACCTCCCCTTGGTTCCTGGAAACAGCGCGACGGCTGCCAAGTCAAGAGATGCCGTTGCCCCGCGTGACACAGCTGCTGCGTGCGGATCGCGCATCCGCATGCTAAGCTCCGTTCCGTGAGCTCCCCTGCCGTGGCAGGTTTGTGCACGGGCAGCAGCAGATGAATCATCCCCTCACCGGAAGTACAAGTGATTGCCTGATGCCGAAGCCATCTCCATTTCTCGCTTGCATACAAAGGCTAGAGGCCAGCATGAGTTCGTCCACAGCCGCCGGCAGAAAATGCCTCGTAGTCCGAGCCGTAAGCCCCGTGCCGGCCGGCCCGAGGCCTCGCTTGATCGACCTGATGCAGTCCTTGAACAGAGCTCTATCGGACTCTATCGTAAGCTGTGTCCGGCATGCGTAGACGACGCACTTGAAACGAGATTGCTGCTCAGCATTCGGGGGGCAGCACGATATTGTCCTCGCTTGAGCGATGCACCTGCCGCCCTGATATTATGCACATCAAGAGGGAAAGCAGCGAGTTCCCATTCTTCGCAGATGCGACGCCACACCAAGAGGCCGGATTCCCTGAGGAAACATCGGTGATACTTCGATCTAAGAAGCAATTGGCTATCATCCTTCCAGTTCCTTCTCCAGGAATCATATCTCGAGAAATAGGGGCCGCATCTGCCCTGAATCGCATTATGGCTTCCGTTGGCGAGGACCGTGGGTTGCAAGGGGACCAGGATCAGCAATCATCACGACGGCTTAATGGCCTCGGCGGCCAGCTCTTGGATACGAGGCCTTGCAGACATTGCCCCAGCATGCGTTAGGGCTCAGGTCGTCACCTGTGAGGCTGCACGGGAAAACCAGCCCGCTCTTCCGTGCAAAGGGGTGCAGAGACGGCAGTTAGAGGGAGGATCTGCCTCCAATCAAGAAGCTTCTGACTGCGAGCTTCCTTCACAGCGGCGAGCGCTGCAGGAGCCCTGGCTGAGCGAGCCAGGGTGCTACAAGAGTTGGACGACAATGTCCTGCACGGACCACAGTGGGGCCCACTCGGCTGAAGTAAGGCACGGCCCACGGACGGGGTCCATGCTGTCACAATGCAAGCTCGTCAAGCGATCGACCAATGGAAGCAGCAGCGCGGCCTCACTCCTATCGACCCAACTGCGCACAGTCAGAAGCGCATGCCGCGTCTGCTCCAATGTGCAGTCATAGATCTCCAAGGCCTCCAAGCCGCTTAGCACCGAAAGGGACGCCAGCTGTCGCAACACAAACTCCAGCGCAGCCCGTGAGCACGACATGGCCCACAAGAATACAACAGAAGGCACCTGGAGCCGATACTCCGCGTCGGTCCCAGTGCAACTTGTCAAAAGGTGCATGCTGCACTAATCTACATCTAGAACTCAAGAGATTTGGATGTAGCTCGCAGCGCCGGAAACTAGAGTAACTGGAGCACCCCGTGAGCAAGTAAGATAGAAATCCTGATCGAAAAGCCGAAAACCCTGAGCCCTGAAGCTTATGTGACTTGGGTTAGAGAGTCGAGTACATCCGAAACACGCAACCACGACTTGGCATTCTCGAAAGGCACGCATGGAGCTCCGCGTAGACGAGCTGGCAGGTGTCCATATTGCAGCCCTGGAGGAGGAAACCCGCCTGATGGATTCAGGGTCCGGAGTTTAAGGTTGTTGTCGATGAAAATGCACGGGAGGCTAGATCCAAGACTGTCTCGGGTCACCTGGAATGTAAGCCAACCAGCCGCAAGGCTTCTGAAACTTTGGAGAGTTGGCATTGGTCGCATTAAATGTGATTTGAGTTTGGGTCGGGGTTACTTGGCCTAGCAGAACCTTCTTGGTCTCCTGAACCTTACTCGACTGCAAGAGGGCCTCAGCGCTCTTTTCTAAAGCACCAGAAACCCGACATGTCTTACCTCCGACCCAGGATCTGCAGACACTCTGGAATGCTGAATCTCATTATCGATGAATGTTACCGAGACCGAGACTTTTCGCAGCAAGCTCTGGCTACCAAGCGTTCACCCTTCCGTTCCCACAACCCAGAAGCCCAACGACACCAAAGGCAAGCGGCCAGTATCCGCGTTGAGGTCGATTCGATGCCAGGCAGGGGCTGGACCTTCAGCGTTAGCGAGTTTCGACGTAGGGTGCGCCAATCACGCACGAGCCTGCCAAAATGGACCCCTTCGTGCCAACTAGGACCTTCAGGAAAGCCTGGTCCTTGATCCTGCTAGCGCTATCCCTCAAATGCGCCTTGATCTCTGCAGGCGGGAAGAGGGATCGGGTCACCTGAACACTTGCTGAGATCTTGGTGTCGTTCGGGGCCTGCGGCTCTTGGTTGGCGTTTGAAACCTCTGCCTCAAGTTGACAGTCCTTTCTTCAATGTGTTGGTGACAATCTGACAATCTGCGCTTGTCTCCACTGATCCTTGGAACAGGAGACATCTTGCCACTGCCTTTCGAAAACTGCGGTCACGGTTTAGCAGGGGCATCTGCATATCAGTGAAGCTATGAAACTCGACTGAATCTGGACTGAATGAACTGCAGCGGCTCGGCAGCTTCTCTCTCACCCGCCTGGCTCACTAGAACACCAATCTTCTCGACCCATCGGTCACGCTCCTTTGCAGGGAGTTGCAAAGACATCCCGATCTCTGCGCAGCTGGGCTGCAAGCACCGTTTTTCCCCTTCTCGGCCCAGGAATTCAAACTGTCGGATTGAACAGCCGTTGCCTCGACATCAGCCGTTGCCAGAACACAACAAGCAGTCCTTGTAGGCATTGCCTCCCGTGCAGGCGAAGTACAGACAGAGGTCGTGACCTCCGGCACGGAAGACCTCAGACTGGGACAGCTTGAAGGCTCCGTTACTCTTCTAGACGTGGGGATAGAAGCAACCAATCCATATTGGTATTGTGGCTCTTGGATGCACGAGACGTTGTAATGTTGTTCCCGCTATCGCTATGCTGGCCGAAACACGCAAAAAGAACCGCATGAATCTCGTCCTGAGGCCCGCCCCTATTCTGTAGCCAATCCAACACTACCATGTCTGCGGCTACGGCCCGACTGTCAAACAATGCTCACCAAACGAGTCCGCTTACACGTGCACCACGTAGGATGCCAGGGGCTCTGGCATAAGCATCAGACGAAACAAACAGATGGACGGATTCTGATAGATCCCTCGATGCAATGAGGTGTCTGTGCACCACACTGTAAGCTTGAAAACCGCCCAGTATGCCGAGTGCTGCAGGGTCTTCACCTGCTCCACAGGGCACAAGACAACGAGGCCACAGACAGGCGCTCCACAGTTGCTATGAGAATGAAACCGACTCGCTAACCTGTCAGCTTCTCTTACATGAAAGAAACGTAGCACGCTCTCATCTTTGCTGTCTAATGAGTCTAATGAACCAGACAACCCGAGGGCTACGCTCAGAGAGCTTTGCCCTTGGAATGATCCTTGGAAGTCCTTCTCCTGGAATCCTCACCCTCTGGATGGGTGGACTGCTCGGAATCACTTCGCCGTCAGTCACTTAAGCAGCTGGAAGCGACCTCACAGTTGGCTGAACGACAACCTCGAATCCAAGCAACCAAGCAAGCAAGCAAGTTGGCAGGCCCGGGAGCCCAAAAGGGGACTGCTCCGCTCGAACAGTCCCCACCTGGCACTTCTCCACAAGAGAGAAAGGCGACCAGGCCCTGTTCACCCGTCTCGCATCACTTCCTGGCCAAGAAAAAACACTTCCAGGCTTCAGGGAGGTGTCTGAAAAGGTGCTTTTTGCGCGCAGCAGAAGCCCGGACCCTGAGGCCGGTGGGCTTAGGTGATACTCCTGACCAAACCTCCGCAGATCGGTGGAAGGGGGTCTGTATATCCAATGTGTAGGAAGAGGACTGCTTCAAGATCGCCAGAGATCCCGCAAGTTCGCAAAATACAACACCGCTGGCATTGACTGCAGCACTGGCACCACGGCAACCGAGAGACCCCGGGGCAAGAGTCCACAAGCACACATCGACTCCCCAATCCTCAACACGAGTCTTACCTTACAACCCTCAATTGCGGTCCAACGTCAAAGTCAGGTCCTACTTCTTCGGCCAGCAGCCTCCACCGACCAGCGGCGACATCGAGAAGCCGTTGGCCTCTGGAAGCTGGGGCTTCGGAACACTGAATCCACGAGATGCTTCTTCATGCCTCGGATTCAGTGTGCACTGCAGGAGTTGGGGTTCCAGGCCGCGTGTCGCGAGCCCGAAAGTGTGCAGCGAGCGATGCCCCGAGGGCCCCGGAGCATCGAGGTCGCGGCATAAAGGGTGACCGTCATCTGCTGCACAGACTCCTCTCGCTGGCAAGGAACAGCAGGCGGGGGGAGCCGGGAGCCAATCCTACAGGTGCAACTGTACCTGCTCTCGCTGCGCACCAGTGCGGCTGCAGGTTCTAGCTTTCTAGCAGATTCGACAGCACGTACTCGCCGAAACCCGTCGAAGCACGAGCAGCCGCGTGTCCGGAACCGGCCCGCAGCCCTCAAAAGTACCTCTCAACTCGCAACCTTCGGCCCCAATGCCCCCGCAGACGAAGAGCAGTCGTCGTGGCAGCGGCCGTATGACATGAATGGTAGCAGAAGGAGTCGGGGTAGGATTAGAAGTTGGTGACGATAACCAAGACTATCAACAAGTTAAACTCAACTTAACAAGAAGCATTTGCCCTGGACCAGGCCTCCAGCTTGATGTGCATAAGGGTCCCGATCAGAAGCCTGACGTGATCTGTTTTGGGAGCGGGCGCCAAAAGGCATCTGTGACTTTGGACCACGCTTGGTGTGGAAATTCAACAAAAATACGGTGAAAGTTGAGCACATCCGGCAAAGCGGCGCTGTCTGGGAAAGCAACACGTGCTGCGCCCAGCTTCGATGCACGAAAGCGCCCGAGTGAGGACGGCTCCGACCTGCTGGAACCCAACCATTTGACCGAGCTGCGGTTCGCCCTGCATTGTTTCGAACTCCGCAGCACGGAATGTCGGCACCTCGTAGCCCAGGCTTGGTTTGGGGACTACGCTTCCGCCAGGGCCATGCCCCCCCGAGTGGCAACGACCCACCAAAGTCGGGTCGCAGCATGTTTTAAGCCTAGTGCCTCAGGATGCGAATCCCCAAACCCCACACACACCTCCGCGATCAGACCCCCAGAAAAAGATTCCTCAAACCTCCCCAATTCTCCTTGCAGGGACCCCTGTGCCATGCCCGAGGTCGATGCCGACCGCAACCTCGGGCCCGGCGGCAGCTTCGCCCGCAACCCTGCGGCAGAGGGGGGGTTGAATAAGTGCGCGAGTTCAAGCGCCAATGGGCTCTAGTGAATCAGGGTATTTAGCGTTCGGGGTCGATGGGGTCTAAGAGGCTTGTTTTCGGACAGTAAGGGGATGGACTGTTGTGGTTTTACAGAGCTTAGTGCTTCGGGCTTTGGGGCGCCTGACGCGTTGCGATTGTGTCTTGTCACGTCCGGGACTGTGACGACGTCTTGCAGGGTTTTTGACTCCCGGCTGAAACCAGGGCCCCCCTCGTACTCTTCTGAGTATTGATGTCCCTACTCGCCACTCGACTTGCAATCTGAAGAAACATCGAGTACAGGTGGCGTGGAACAGAGAAGGGACAACACCTGGGCAACTTGGCTTTGACAACCAACGAATGCACACAAGGACGACGTTGTAGCGAACATGTATCGGAATGAACTTGTGGAATCACTCTCGAAAGTGCAATACTACGGACTGCCAAACTACTCAAAGGGAATATGTTGACATTTGCTGTTGCCAGCACTACCATGCTGTTCTTTGCTGTATCAAGACCTCGCACTTGTGCTACTGGCTCTCTAGGAGACTGCGGGCAGTACGGCTATGTTTGAGTTGTAGTCATCATTGTTGATGTTGACCAGATTGTTGTGTCAATTGCTTGTGTGCCATTCACCACCAGGAGAAGGCTCAAGGCTGTAAGCAACAAGTCCAGGGTCCCTGCGCGGCAAGGTCTCAGGGTACTCCACATTCTGCAAGACCACAGAATCCTGCCCAGCAAAGGTCATAGCTGCAGCCTAATTTACGAGACGAAGAAAAGTGAGAAAGGACAGAGAGATGCAGGCAGATTGTGGCCAGAGTCTATAGTCCAGAGACCGTCTCTATCATCTGGCCTCCACCCCCACGATTCTTTCACGTGTCTATGATCTGCACACCCTTTTGGGGCTGCTTTTTGTTCTTGAAAGGGTTTCAGCAGAGTCTGGGCTCAAGGTTTAATGCCATGTGCATCGGGTTAGGGAGAAAAGGTTTAATGCCATGTGAATCGAGTTAGGGATGAGCTTGCGAGTTTGAAACCCTGACATCCACACAGAATCTGACACAGACATCCAGAGATCCTCAAGCCCTCAGACAGTCAAACCAGCGGGCCTTGAACCCCGGCACGGCCGGATAGCTATCGTTGATCTCTAGATTGTTGTCCCAGACACCTGGGACATCGGGCTCTGATTTTGGAGTCGAGTGTGCGAGCGCCTCACCTTGCAGAATATGTTTCGAAGCCCTCTCTGTACTACAACAAGGATTCGCATGGGTGCACTGCTTACTCACGTCCAACACCGAACTGGCAAGGATGACCAAGCTGGCGCCATTTTCGCTAAATTATTTTGTTGTACTTGGTTTGAAGAGATCCGGCTGCTGCGGCGGACCTACCAGCTGATGCAAGGACAAACTGGGACTGGAGTCGACAAAATGTATTGACTTGATTGAACCTCCGACACCTGACCCAAACCCTCCAGACGGAAATCCAAACAAGCGAAAACCGAACACTTAAACCCTAAATCCCCGATCGATACGATCCCCTCTGTCCCCAAATCCTTAGAGCCTTGAACCCTGGACCCCCTTAGAAAGCTGGGCTCCGAACTGCTTCGCTCTTGGGCGTGGGAGCAGACGCACTGCTCAATGCCGGAGAGCCATGCAAACATCTGGCACAAGCTTGCAAGTTCGGGCTTGGGCTAGGCCTAGGCGGCTAGGACACCTCAAACCCCCCAAAAACTGCCTTCCAAGCCGGGCCCCGGGCCTCCGCTTCAGGCTTCAGGCCGTGGGGCCATTGCTTGGGAGACCTTCGGCTAGAGACCCTGGAAAGACCCTGGAATGTCCTGCTAAAGTCTCGGCGACTTGAAGACTGTCGAAGCCCCCAGGACCAGCCGGAAACGGGCTGCTGCTTTGCTCTTCATGTGACGTGCTTCTGCACCTTGTGGGCTAGGACACGAGTAGCTAGAGTCAGCTAGAGGAGTCTGCAGGGCGGGTGTATGACCGATCGTCGAAGCAAGCCAAAGTGATTCCAACAAGGAGCGCTCCAGGTTGGGTGTGGGCTTCGTGAAGTGTTGCTCTGTTGTTGCCGTGAGGCGCGCTCAACTCTTGGAGCCGATGAGGCTTTGCGAGGAAATGAAAGGGAACGGGACAGGTACGCAACCGAATTCGAACCGTGAAACCTATCCGGGCATCGTCTGCTTCTGGAAGAGTCGGTGGCAACAAAAAGGCTACAGCGCATTGCCCGGAGACGGGCGGATAGCTGCTATAGCAAAAAAAGACATGCTTGCAAATCCGGACCCAAAACAGGAACGCAAAGGTGGAACCATGGTGGCAGTCCTCAGCTCACTGTCCTAAGCAAAGGAATCAGGAAACCCCCAACCCAAGCCCCCACCTCTGAGCGGGCTGTTTTCGCATGCTCCACAGCAGTTTCGCTGTGCTCCCCGGCTGCTGTGCGGCTGTCACCAAAGGGAAGATTTCTCAGGGCCCTGTGAGCTACGATCTTGCACGCTGGACCGTGATTATCCTGAACCTTCCACCCCGAACACTATACTCCCATTAAAACTCTTTTGGAAACAGCTCCAGGATCGGAGTAATCTCCGAGGCCTAAGGGACATCCACGGGCTTCACTGAGGGGCCGGCCTTCGGTCGAGACACTCGGGGAAGAGTCTAGGAGCGGCTGGGCTTCAAAGGCTCCTCGGGCTTACGAACCCTTGAGCCTGGGCCAGGGAATACCGTGCTATGATAGAACGGACCCTTCCTTCCAAAGGAACAGCGCTCGAGCAAAAGGCACCATTGCTTTCGGGTCTAGGTTTTCGATCTAGACTATCGAAACTCCTGCTCACGCTGCTAGCCGCAACCTTCACGACCAATCAATCTGCTGTGGTTAAAGCCAAACAACATCTCCTGGAATCTAGAATGCCACTAAAAGATATGCGTGTTGTACATGGTTGAACAACTGCATGGCTTGTCTGAGCTTACTGCTGTGCTTTTACTTCTGTGGTGTGGACAAGTCTACTTGGTGCTACACTACATGTTCTCGCTATACTGGAGGCACTCTCATTCTACGGGGGAGAGCCTTTCATCAGTCAGCCCCAAACCCAGAAACCACGTCTACCCAGGAAGCACAACCCTCCCTCGGCTCTCTGAGTCTCGCTGCGCGCGCCAGCTTCCGGATGAAGACTCAGAGGGCTCCCTGGCACACTCCGATCCCAGCATCCCAGGTGCACAACGACATACCAGCCACGGAGAAAAAAACAAAAAAACCGCACTGCAAAAAAAACTGGCTAGCAAGACAAATCCAATATCCAATTACTGATAACGGGGCCTGACAGATTTAGGCTTTCCAACACGAGTGCCCCAGCACAAGAGTTTTTCCTTTTGCGTGCGATGAGACTGATTATCGGGTCTGGTAGCTTCTGGGCATGCTGCAGCATCAATGATCACCCGCTTCCTTGCGCTAGCACCCTCCTTGCGAGTAAGACGGCGACGCCTGGTTGGAAGGATGGCCCAGGGCCTTTGTGGGAATCCACGCGTTGTTAAAGCCTTTGGTCAAGAAACGTCACCACGAGACAAGTGTGAGATTTCGCCATTTCGTGTGGTTGTCCGTGCGAGCAGTTACTTGTTTGTGGCTATCGCAGTGGCTGTAATTAGCTGAATAAAACTATCATAGGCATAGTCTTTCAGCTTTGTGCAATCACAAGGCACTCGCACCAATCGAAGAAAGCACAAGTTGCTTCCGCCTCAGTCTTCATCGCTGTCCCAATCGTCCAGGGGGTTGCCACCGCGCCTGGGCCAAAGCTTGATTCAGCTCGATGCCCTAGCATGGCACGGAGGCCCTTTTCAGTTTCAGTCTGACCCGAACCCCCGAGCCGAACATATGTATCTCATCCTTCTTATTCTTAATCTCACTCTCCCACTGCCTGATAAATCAACCATGATACGAAAAAAACATGCTGATTTCTTTAAATTGTCCATCTCACAGCTGACACCCGAAACCCTGAAGCCCAAACGCCTGAAGCCCAAACCCTGAAGACACAAACCCCGAAATCCTGAAGCACTAAATCCGATTTAAAGACTTGGCACCCCCTGAATAATTTAAAACCGAAAAAACCCTCGAGCCCTAAATCCTACACCGAGCGCCGTAAAGCCTCCAAGACCAAAGCCAAAAAATCTGAAGCCCTGAAACCTCAAATCTCACGCCTAAACCCGGAAACCCTAAAGCCGCAGGCAGCCCCAACCCGAAAATCCTGAAGCCCCGAACCTCAAACCCAAAGCCCTAAACCGCGCTGAAGCCCTAAACCCGAAAATTATGAAACCCCAGATCCCAAACTCAATTAAACCCTGAAGCGCCGTAGGCATAACAGTCCTACAGAACCCTCAACCTCAAACGCTGCAAGGCCCTATAAATGCCCAAGAATTGCCCCGGTTTCTCGGAGAGCGCTGCTTTCGCATCACCCGGTAGAACTCCTCGGGGCTGATGAGCCCGTCCCCATCACGATCGGCCTCAGGGAGAAAAGATGCGACGAGGGTGTGGGGGGTGTTGGGGGTTTAGGGCGTAGGGATGCGTAGGGTTTAGGGGGTTTAGGGGGTTTAGGGTCTGGGGTTTAGGGTACTATCACTGAGATTTAGTATGCTGGCTTTACATTACTATCCACGCAGAAACCAATTGAAATCAATGGCTTTTGGCATATTGTTGCGGTCATTGCGAATCCCGACCTTAGAATCATGTTTTTGACCTTCGTTTTTCCTTCTTCTGCGACGATCACAACAACGCCGACGAAAACGCCGACGACGACTACGACAGCGACGAGTACGACGGCCACTACTGGTTACTAGTCATGGTTATACTGCTAATGCCACCTCGCGGTCATAAGGTCATGCACAGGGGATTTCAATTAATCGGTTCATGCAAGCATAAAGCCAATGCACTTTGCGACGAGCACCGTAATTCATGTGCGATCCCTTTGCTAGTGGCTGCCGCCACAATTGCTCTCAAGAGTCTCACGAACTGTAGCACTGTGGCACTGTTAGGCTAGCACAATAGCATGATCACTCTTGCACGTACCACCCTGACTACATGGCTATACATGGTTACATCCATCGCAATCTCTGCAGGGCCTCCTCGATCATCTCTTGGAGCTCCTCGTCGGTGAGGCTCTCACCGAGCTCCTGTGATGGGCTTCGGGCTCGAGGCTTAGGTTTCGTCGATTCGGGAACTTCGTGTAAGGGGTGGAAACTGCGGGGTCGTGGGGTTGAAGTTGACAGGGATAGAGATCGAGGGAAGTCAGGGTTCCCGAGCAGCTCCGACAGAAGCTAGTCGAAGGTTCAATATCGCGACACACTCCCGAAGTAAAGCTGGGTCGACACAGATCGCGGGCAGGAGCTTGCCAGGGACGGGCCCGGGAATCGGTGTGTGGCTCGGGCGGGAGGTTGGGTCCTGGGCGATTCTCTTGAGGTTGCGGAAGGAGATCTTGCCCGTCTCGTCCTCGTCGAAGAGGGCAAAGACCTTGTAAGCGGGTGATGAAAATCACATTCAGAGAAAGGCTGACTACAGTAGCACACACTGACCGTGTCGAGCATGAGACTTGTCGTCGATCTATGAGTTTCCTTGGTACACGAAACGACTGGCGCGGCCTTGTCGATCTCCACCCGCGAGTTCTTGTCGGGCATCCTTCCATCCAGGAGGTTGCAACGGCTCCGCTCCATCCCAGACGGTGTGGAGATGCACCAATGCACAAAAACCGCCTCTTGTGCCGGCCTTCCCTTCATCATCTCGCAGAACTCATTGAAATCGATGGGCTGGGACGGGTCCTGAGGTGTCGGGAGTCTTGAGCAGTCTTGGAGAGATGTCCGCCCACGTCTGCGCGAGTAGCCTTGACGGGTCTAGAGGGCCGCTACTCCCGCAGCACACCGGGATGCTTGCCATAAACCGGGAATTGAGCAGCCGTTTCACAAGCTGCCGGCAATGACGAACTTTACCGGAGCTGAAGACCCGGCTTTGCCAATGTCCGCCAGCATTCTTCTGACCTCAAAACGCCGTTCATCGGACTCAGAAGCTGGGACTGCTGGGCCAAGATTTCACTTTTTGCGGAGAGGTCAAAAGTCATGGTTTGGGGCATGGGCTTGGAGCCTTCAGGCCTTCAAGTGGTGGCAAGATCAGGTCTTTGAGGCCGACAGTTGATGAAGCGAGCGGATTTCAGACACAAGCTTTCCGACAAACCTGAAACCTAGACGCTACCTCCACCACTCCAGAATGTGTGGCTCGGGCTTTGCGAATAGAAAGTTCCAATGTCCAATTGTTGGAGTTTGCCCGGCCTCCAAATTCAAGCCTCAACCCAGCCACGCTTTCACCGACGATACCCCAGACAAGGGCGAAGCCGACCCTCGACCCTATCACGGTCCCAGAACGAGATCCGGGCATCTTCCTTCTTGACTTCGAAGCCTAAGGCTCTCAGCGCTGCCTCCCGGGGCGTCGCTTGGGGTGACACTCGCGGCAGAACTGCATTGAGACACCCGGCATCACCCGGCCTTCAGCTCCCGTGCGTCGATGGCACCGGACTGCTCTGTATCAAAGAGGCTGAAAGCCTGGACTTTCGCTTTTGTGAACAAAAGGGATCCATCGCATCGTTCGCGGAGCAGCAGCAACCCCCAAACCCTCAAAGATCCACAGCGCCCTTCTTTACGACGCTTCCTCGCGGATCTCTTCGGTCTGCTCATCGTCCAGGCCTTGCCTTTAAAGGAAGCACGGCCCGGGCCAAAATCTTCAGACTTGTCGGCAACTTAACGCATTAGAATAAAAGCTTGCATGCGACCGCGTCAACGCAAAGGAAAGGCTTCTGCGATCGTGATGGAGCGCCGCTTTTTTTGTGGAGAATCAACGTGCACAAAGCCAACACCCTGCCCGTTGCAGATCCGCAGAAAATATGACTAGGACGGACTGCTGACAGCTCGTCCATCTCAATTGCAGCTGAATAACAAGATCCGAGATTAGAGACTCCATATCGTATTGCCCCGTGACGGCTGTTGATAATAGAGACGGATGCCCTGAAATAGGGAAGCCCTCTAGGCCTTGTGTTCGGCTTCCGCGTAGTGCGGCCCTGCCTGGGATGGAGTAGGCTCGAGGGAAATCGCTTCGTGTTCTCAGCTCTGTCGGCTTTGAGATTCCTTGGAGATGTGGGGCTGAGGGGATCGGATCACAAAAGCTGCGGGTGCGAGTCAAGGACAGTGATCGAGCTTTGGAGCAACAAAACCGAACATCTTATGCATCGTGGTGGGGCGACGGACCAGCCAGACCAGCAAGGAAAGACCAGCCCTTGCTTGATCGTCTTGTAAGAAAAATCAATCGAACTGACTGGGAACAGGCCCGCATTTGGCTGCCTAGCATAACTGCGCTGTGTAGCCTGTTCACGACTAATTATTTGATGCCTGTCTCTCTTGATGCAGCTACTTCATACTGCCATATACTGCCGTACTCACTCAGGTAGCTGCTAGCCACTGGCTAGAAGCTAAGAGGTGCGACTGAACAAAAGCTCCCAGAGTGAAAGAATGTGCCATTGCTAGAAAAACATCCGCACGTGTCGTTTTCCGTCCCGTGTTTTATGTGAAAACACGCATTTCGCCACAGCGGGAGCGCATTTTTGTACACTAGCTCACAGGAAAATCCC